CGTGCTTCCGCATTCGGCAACCGGGGCCGGTGTACTCGTCTTCTTTGGTGTTCAGGTGAGAATTGCGCGCAATGTCTATTCGATTGAACCTTTTTGGTTTCTAATTTACAAGATTAGCGTACAACACGAGAATTTACAGCAGATGGCCACATTTGGTCATATTATTCATTTAGGATGAGTTCAAGGACCAGCTGCAAACTATACGGTGTTGTTTTAACAAAATGTCTCTCGAAATTAGCATTTTGTAAGTATATATTCTACATAACTTTCTGTAATGCTTTTATGCGCATGCGTAGTAATGACCTCTTAGGCTCCATACTTACTCTGTTTGTTCTTCGCTGTTAAAGAGATAAATAAAAAAAGAATAGAATAAATATACTTGCTAAAACACACGTTGTGTATATATATATATATATATATATATATATATTTTCCTCAACGGTAGGACAACTTGCATATATAAGTTTTATTAAAGACGACTGATAAGGAACGGCATTTAAGCTTTTTAATTTTTCTTGTGTTCGTATAAGTTTTTCTTTTCTGAATATAAGGTGTGTAAACATTTTCCGAATGTTTTGCATGTATGAGCTATTTTTAGCCATTATCAAGGATGTTTTAATTTAATTTTTTTTAAAATTCTAATCGAATGTGTAGATTCCTATGTATGTATCTAGAGTTAGAGAATTTTTTAAAACAATTTTCTAACAACTGGGGCTGTGTGTTTCATTATAATGTTTCTAAGGGGAAATTCATCTTTTCTTGTAGATAACTTATATTTGATTTTTAATGAAAATATTTTTAACTGCATGTTCAGTTTTGCTATTGGTTACCTTATAAAGAAATAGTCCAATTTAGCGACCTATAAAATAACTGTCAGTCGTCTGTAATTAAACTTATATAAAAGAGCGATTGCTGCTCAAAATACTATAATATATATATATATATATATATATATATATATATATATATATATATATATATATATATATATATATATATATATATCTATATGTATATATATATATATATATATAGGATGCAATGGTTAAATTGTCGCCATTTTATATTTAATTTCGCGTTGTTTGTTTTTTTTTTATTTTGGCGGCTACACTGTATAGTAGGGTCAGTTGGGCACCGTCTGTGAGAAAAAGAGCACCATGACGTAATGAGTCTAATGGTGACTACGAAGGCGCGGCAGCTCGAAAAACTCACTCCTATTGTTCTGATAAGAAAAGAACACCTGAATCTGTTGGTGAAGGCCTCAGACTCAACACGGAGTCCTACACCAAGTCCCTTTAGGAGGTAGTGCTGCTCTCGGTCAAGAGGGTGGCTGCTGGAAGATGCTATTTCTGGCAACAGGACTCTGCACCATGCCATACAAACAGGATAACCTAGGCATGGCTGTCTGACAAGTTCTACGACCACATCACCCCTTACATCTGGCCACCTAACTCCCCAGACTGCAACTCCTTGATTATTATGAATAGGTTGCAGTTGATCGAGAGACCAACAAAACTCCTTGTAACACCAAAGATGAGTTGAAGGCAATTCACCAACTTAAACAAGGAGACCGTCCAGAAGAGTTGCAGGAGATTCCGAAGTCATCTGGAGGCCGTGGTTGAAGCAGCCAATGGCAATTTTATTGAATAAATTTACTCTTTAGTATTTCAAGATATTTTTGTGTAATTTTGGTCAATATCTCTCTTAAAATGAGATGTCAGTGCTATTTTCATTTTTGCGTAATTTAGACGACAATTTATCCATCATATATATATATATATATATATATATATATATATATATCAAACGTCCAGCACGATAGAAATATTAATTAAAATTAATGTTGAATAAAAGTATTTATTCATTTTGTTGTGAGTGGTTTTAATGAGCATGTATAACGTTTTTCTTGATCAAATATATTGTGGTCTGTTAAATATAAAATTATACAGTTACCTTGTGGTGCTGGATTAGTGAGACGCTGTATATTACAATATATAAATATTGAATATATTATTATTATTATTATATATGCACACAATATAAAAGTGTTCAAAAAACGAAAATATGCATGCACTTTGAAAGACAATGACATAAAAGTTAATTTAAGCTAGCTTTCATCACATACAGGTAAAGAGAGCCGACTCAATACCCACTAACCACATCACAGACACCCGGTGAAAACAAATGTATTTTTCACTATATTTTAAGGATAATATATAAACCATTTTTAATACAGTTAGATAATCATTAAATCAACTAATGAAAATCATTTATTTGCTATAAAATATGACCAGGTTCGAAATTCCAACGTATATCTCCTGAAGAAGCCTGGACCGTACAACGGCCGAAACATTGTGAATATGGCAATAATGATGAGGACAACAGTCCGAACAATGTATCGTCCTGGGTATGACGATAAACTACATCCGGCAGCAAGGCTTCTGATCGGGAGGCGTGGAAGCACCTGTTAATTGCTGATGTTCCCAGGTCCACCCTCACCTGGAGTGGTAGCACCTGTTAAGGTCCCAGCAATGGGAAAACAGCTAACCCCAAAACTGGGGTCAAAACACTATGAAAGTGTAGAAATTCATTTTTATAGTGAAGGTCTCATCAATACATTTTTGTAAAAAAAAAAAAAAAAAAAAGGAGATTACCAGCATTATATTTTGTAAAAGAAATTACTAATGCCGTGAAGAAAATTAATTTTCGGCCCATAAAAAGTAGATATGCTGTTAAACAAGCAATACAAATACAAACTAATTTTCGTTGATTCTTATTTCTATAACGGCTACTTTATTTTTGGAAGTGAATGATAAAAAAAAACCTCACTTAGAGAGCTCAAAGCAGGTTGCATGAATTATATAATATATTTATAAAACCTTCCTTCATTTAAACATGTTTTGTTGAATATAACGGACAATGAATGTCTGTTGAGCCTTTGGGTGTGTTCACTTGGTGCTAAAAAAGTCGACTGATGCCCAGTGGGAACTTGCAAAGGAACTTGATGACATCACGAGAAGTTCGCCAAAAGACTCAATAGACACTAATTGTCTGTTATATACAATAAAATATATATATATATATATATATATATATATATATATATATATATATATTTTTTTTCTCATCGGTGGCACAACTGAGTTTCATGCACAACGCAATCTTCAGGTGCTGATTTAAAATTTAATTAACCATCTGAAGGCGAGGGAAAAATGTATATTTATTATTAATATATAATTTATAGCTGTTATTTTACATTGAGCTCTATTTTATTAACACCAGCACTCAACAGGCGACAGGCTGTTTTATGCTAAACGCAATCATCAGGCCCGACGATTGCGCCTCGCATGAAACAGCCTGTTGCCTCTGAGTGTTGACTTCAATGTTCACTTTTATATTTATATTTACATACGCTCTATCTCTGATAATGACCCTTTTTATCCCATAAATATAGCATACCTTAAAACTATATATATATATATATATATATATATATATATATATATATATATATATATATATATGTGTGTGTGTGTGTGCAGATATGTAGGAAAATGGGAAAAGAACACGTTAGGTAAATAATCCGGAGTTCTTTAGTATTTTTGTTTTTATTTTAAAAAAAACAGTGCTCCATACAGAAGTAGAGCCTAAATTATAATTATTTTTTAAGAAAACATGATTCCTTCGCTACATAAGAGTTCTCATGTTTCAAAAACGAGAGCCGAAAACCTCAATATAATTATTAAAATTAAATTGAATTAAAGTATCAAGCCCTGCTTTAAGATGAAATAGGACTTGATAAAATGAGTTTGATATGCCGTAAAAACAAAGAAACAAACAAACCAGATTTGTTCTTTCATGATTAAAGAGTATTTACCGTGCTCTTTTTAAATTATCAGACAACGAAGCTTATACGTGATTACGAAAGGATCTTATTGAAATTAAACACAACATGTTTAAATTGTCCAATCATACATGCTTAAATAAAAATATACTGCAAAATATACGGAATATATATATATAAAAATATAGTTTTTAAAGTCTGCTATATTTATGGGTAAAAGTGATCAACATCTGGAATAGAGAATATATAAATATGAAAGCGGACACTGGGATCAACACCATGTGGTGACAGTATATTTTGTGCTTGAGCGCAATCTTTAGGCCATGTGTGTGGTTCGTTGACTCGACTATTTACTTGGGAAAGGTATGCGCCCATCTCTTTTCTCCCCAGTAATGTTTTAAATATGCGGGCTGACTGAGCTCTGTTGTCTTGAGGTGGCAACCAATCTAGGTGTCTGAATTCGGAAGCAGCCTGTAGAAGGATGGGCTCCGTCAGGTTGTCTTACCCAAGGCGAGCCACTACGGCTATGGCGACAGCATGTGTGACGCCCCCATCAACTTAATGACTTATAGAAATCGTGATTTAATGATGTAGCGATAAAACTAAAATGCATGTTATATTGAATGTTTGTCCCGATTCTGACAATGTATGTTTAGATTTTTTGGTGGAGATTGATTTACCAACATATCAACACTTGTTGAATTATTTGATATTGAAATGTCTAATTTATTACAATATTTGAGTCTGTAACCATTCACTTGGTGCGGTGATAAATCGTTTATATTTGCCCCTCTAAGCATTCCCTTGGTCCCGTGATAAATCGTTTATATTTGCCCCTCTAAACATTCATTTGGTTCGGTGATAAATCGTTTATATTTGCCCCTCTAAGCATTCACTTGGTCCCGTGATAAATCGTTTATATTTGCCCCTCTAAGCATTCACTTGGTTCCGTGATAAATCGTTAATATTTGCCCCTTTAAGCATTCACTTGGTCCCGTGATAAATCGTTTATATTTGCCCCTATAAGCATTCATTTGGTAGGTAGTCTCCTTTGGACCAGGGTTTTACTTCGCCGCATTGCATCTAATCGGCGTATCTTAGGCGTTTAGTGGCTGGGTATCATGTGCATATAAGATGAATAGTGAAATATACTTACGTATGATCACCGTTTTCCATTTTCTATCTTCCGATTCCGTTTACAGTAACTGAAAAAAGAAAAAAAAGTGAATATTTAAAAACCATCAATAAAAGTACTTGGCTTTATGACAAAACAAACAGGAATAATTGGAACTGATGCAAAGATTTCAAGCTATCCCCTACCGGTAAGCTGAATTCGATTTCATATTCCTCTCTACAAAATGAAACTTGAAGCGACAGATATTCGTAGCTACAGAAGGATGCTGAGACTTCTATGGACACAACATGCGAGTAACAAGGGAGTTTTGAGGAAAATAGGAACAAGAATGAAAATTACACTTGTAATAAAAACCATATAGTTGAAATTTCTGGCCCACGTCACATCATTAGGAAAGAAAGTTTGGAGAATTTAACACTCACAGGGCATATTGAATGCAAGAGGAACTATGGGAAACTGAAAATAAACTACCCAACGAGTTTGTGTAAGCAGTTGGCAAAAGAGGGATTAGTAAGGTTATTTACCTCACCCCCCCTCCCCGCGAGATAGGATATGGCACAAGGCCGTTATTTAATGTGGGGTAAAACCGAGCCCGTAGGCTCAGGCAAAAATTCTCCGTAGACCCCATAAAAACAGGGTCGGGTAGCTGTCTACCACCCTAGACGAGTCTCTTCCCTTCGACATAGCCTCGTCTGGGTTCCTCTCCGCCCGAAGGCAGAGAGTTCGACTAGCTTAGCTGGAGACGAATCTCTAACTAATTGCTGAGGCAAGTCCCAAGAGAGATTAGTAAGATAAACATTGCTAAGAGCTAGAGAACATATGAAGCTGTGGAGAGTCATGATCGCCCATGCTTTGTACTTTGAAATATTTAGCTCGAGTAAAATGTGCTGATGCTTATGAAATATATTTATGGACGTTAATACAATTAATTTTATTTTACTTTAAATACAATTTTGATACTAGACAGCAATAAAGAAATAAATAACGATAACATATAGTAATGGATGGTGTGTCAGGGAGAGCCGAGTTCGAATTTCAGTCGAGTTCGTTACTTTCATTTACGTGCAAATAATCTCGGGAAAGGTATGATGAATCCATCTCTTCTCCACCCAGCAAGGCAAACAGGGTCCCATAGCCTTGGCTGGTAACCGTTCTAGAAAGAAAAATCTAAATTCAAATCCTCCACCTATGGTTTAAATAGCCCCACCAACCAGCAATTGGCCAAGTCGGGTGAATACCCCTATACCCCTGAAGACGGTTCCTCCAACAGGATTGAGTAGGCCCTAGATTTGCGTTTGGGTTATTATATTCATTTACGTGCAAATATTCTTGGGAAATGTATGAATCCGTCTCTTCCCCTCTTCTTATGGATTAAATAACAGGATAGTCTTGGTTGGCAACCAGTCTACAGCAGAAAGAAACGGTAGCCTACTGCGGGAACTCCTGCAGTCAGTCATGAATCAAGAGACATGATCATCCTAGTGTTTGTCACTTGACTAGTAATAATTGATTGATTCGATTTCTACGGTTTATAAACCCACTGCAGGTTATTTAAAGCCAGAAAATATTTTTAGAGTGTAAGAATTTTTCAGATAATAATGATTTCGTGATATAAGTTTTACTAATTAACCCATAGCTGGAGAGATAAGATCTGAATTCATGCCTTTCCCAAGAGTATTTACGCGTAAGTGAATATAACGAACCCAACTGGAATTGAAACTCGTTTCTCTGTTTAACAATTCCGAGGCATTATCCATTACACCACCCGCACATCCAAGCTTACAGCACCTGGTATTCCCAAGCGGTCGGCCATCTTGGTACTGACCAGATTTGGCGTTGCTTAAATTCGGTGATCGTACGGAGACCGGTGTTTCAAGTGATATGGCCGTAAACCCTTAGTCTTCAGTTGCTTGAATCTCTGCGATAAAACATGACCAACCATTACCGTATACACTCGTGTATAGTGTGAGAATTTATGATCAGTTTTTGATATAAAAATAGGGGGGCGCGTTATACACAGGTAATTTTTTGAAAAGATTAAAAATCAGACATGAACGAAAACAAAGATACGGTATCTAAATCTTTGTATCAGATAATTTACGGTAAGTATTTTTATAACCATTTTTCGGTAGTTTTATACAAGAAAAGAATGAAGACCATTATGAGGATGACATTATACGCAGGTAATTGTTTTGAAGAGGTTAAAAGGGAAGGGACTTAAGCTACATAGGAGGCAGACCCAGTGTAAAGGAGCTACCCTAGTCAGCCATGAACGAAAACAGAACTACATTAACTAAATCATCGTATCAGATATTTTACGGTAAGTAGTTTTCTTCACCATCTTGGGGTCGTTTTGTACAAAAACGAATGAAGACCATTTATTTGCTATAAAATATGCCCAAGTTCGATATTTATGACCGGTTCGAAATTCCAACGAATATCTCCTGAAGAAGGCCGGAGCGTACACCGGCCGAAACGTTGTGAATATGGCAATAATGATGGGGACAACAGCCCGAACAATGTATCGTCCTGGGTATGACGATAAACTACATCTGGCAGCAAGGCCTCTGATCGGGAGGTTTTGGGGAACGTGGAAGCACCTGTTAATTGCTGTTGTTCCCAGGTCCACCCTCACCTGGAGTGGTAGCACCTGTTAAGGTCCCAACAATAAAAAAAAAAAACACCTAACCCCCAAATTGGGGTCAAAACACTATGAAAGTGTAGAAATTCATTTTTATAGTGGAGGTGACATCAATACATTTAAAAAAAAATTACCAGCAATATATTTTTGTAAAAGAAATTACTAATGCCCCCAAGAAAATTCAATTTCGACATTAAATGACCCATGAAGGAGTTGATATGTCGTTAAACAAATAATACAAAACAAACTAATTTTCGTTGATTCTTATTTTTTATAGCGGCTACTTTATTTTTGGAAGTGAACGATAAAAAGAAAAGTAAAAATACCAGCAATAAAGTTTTGAAAAAAAAAAAAAATGCATATTCTATTCATAGAAATTTATCCTAAACATGTCGGCATTAAATAACCCATTGAGGTTGATATACCGTTAAACAAAATAAACCAAACCAAACCAAACCGAACAATGTAAGTAGTGTAAATAACTAATATTACAAATCTTTCGATGAGTCCATTATTTATGAGGTATTGCCAGGGCGTAATGGTCGTGCTAATGAAGTGGGGTGGGGGACCACAATTATAATAGAAAATAAAGTCACGTGATCTCAGACAGATTGTCGATAATTAGAAACAAAACGTTCTTTTGTAAGGCGGCTTGACTCCTGAAAGATATACATCGTATCTAAAAGATTTCTGTCTCATCTTCTTTTACTTTGTATGAAGGCAAGCAAACGATTTTAACAAACGACTTCACTGAAGACTGGGAGCCTCCATTAGACAAACATTCTTTGAAAAGAAATGTCTGACGTCACTTTGCTTAAAATAATTTTTCCATGTTCGTTTATCAAATTTTCCCGACACACGAATCGTTCATAAAAGATATCAGGGCATTTTCTTTTTATATATGAGTTTAAGCAAGGCAATAATGCCACTAAGACGCAATGGGGGGGGGGGGCGTTATTGGGAGTGAAAGAGAATGAGAAGACTTTAGAGAATGAAACCGGAAACTCAATTCTAAACAGGAAACAAGGGATAAACCTCTACTCCTATTCAAAAAACCTATCTACTCCTATAGAAGGAAGAAAATAAATAAATAACATTTCAGAGTTTAGATAGAGACGTTAGAAGTATAAAGTTGAAGTAGACTTTAGAAGGAACCGGAAACCCAATCCTAAACAGGAAACAAGGGATAAACTTCTACTCTTGTTTTTTTTTCTTAGTCCTTGTTTTTATCTTGTCTCAGTATTTACTAAGCTTAGTTTAGTATAGCACAAGGTCAAACGGAGGTACGAAGCTTGGGTTTCACCAAGCTTCCAAGTGGGGGGAGGGCCTACCTGATTGCCTTGAAAAATCATCCTTCTTGTTCTTTGCTTTTAATTGAGATCAGTAATTTATTAAGTATAGATTAGCATATCAAAGACAAATGTCGATGATGTTTTACAAGTTTCTCGTCAACTGGCTGCGCAGCGTTGATAGAACAAGAAAAAAAAAAACAAGGCAAACTTTACTGCGCATGCGTAAACACTCTCCCACGGTGTTACTCAGTCGGCAGTGAACAGCTTTTGAGTGGCCTTGTGTAATCTTGTCAGCGTCGTATTCACAAATGGTTGAGTAAATTCTTTACTCCTCACTCAAGTATTTTTTACTCCCTATAACCCCCCCCAAAACAAACAATAAATACATAAAAACGTGGCCAGCCTAAGCTTTCTGCTAAATTAGATATTAGTGCTAAGATAGGGTATTTTACGAGTCTTGTTTCACAGCAGCTGGGGAACTTTTTTTTTCTTCTTAATATCAGGAAACCTTGACAAGCTCAGGTGAATAGAGCGCAAGATATCACCTTACTGTTGACTTATAAGGGAAATTATTTGAGGATTGCACACCGATAAAATCACAGAGGTCAAGTAGAAACCTTGTCGAAGAGAATTGTAGAACATTCTCAGTAGAAAAAAAGTAATATACTTATTTTATGTGCATCTAAACCAGGTGACAGTATTCACCGAATTTAGCATCTTTTACGACTCGGGGGTACCAACATTCAGTACACAGAGTGCATCAAAAATACGTTTATAAACTTTGAGGGCAGCTTCCTCACACCAAAACAAGGACAAAAGTCCATGTAAACATATGTCCGTAAATCCTTCGTTTTTGAGTTATTAAGTATAAAGTTTACGGTAGACACTGTCAAAAGTATAACCCATAGTTTCTAATGTCACAGATCCAGTCTTAGCAATGCGACGATAAACAGCAGTAAAGGTTGGATGACTCGGCTGCATTCAGTCTGGCAAAAGCAATCTGATATAGTCTCGCGTCCATTACCATTTGCACGGTCACATGTAAAAATTGTAACATAAAAGAGATTTAAATTTGAAGATCCATTTAAACTCGCTCGTAATACACAGGAACAAAACTGTCCATAACTTTGATTTTACAAATGCCAACCTAATTAAAAAAAAATGGATAAAGACAATTCTTTATGTCGAAATTACTTCGAGAGATTACTAATAAATATTTCACTATAAACACACGTCAAAGACATATTACATCACCAAACTTTATTGAATCCATTCTTAAAGAATCTAACGTAAGTTTATTTAAAACGGTGTCTACGTAAAAATTATTCCCAAATCAACATGTGAAAACCCACCAATCTCCACTAGACACCTGCAAATATATTTTACCATCTGAATCCCACATAGGCATATTAGAATTATTATATACTTACAGACAAAGCAATATTTACGAAAAAAAAAAAAATAAAAATACCAGAATTTCTTTCTTATTTTTCTATATATCTCATTCTCTGGTGAAGCTTTAATAAAAGTTAAACATGTTAGATTGATAAACGTTTACTATTTGTCCATTATCTTATACCTCTGACGGATCCATATTATATATATATATATATATATATATATATATATATACGTAATGGAGAGCGAATTCCAGTCGAATCCATTATATTCACTTACGTGCTAATACCCTTGGGAAATGTGTGAATCATCTTCTTCCTCCAGCTATGGGTAAATAGCAAGACAGACTGGGTTCTATAGCCTTGAATGGAAACTGGTCTAGGAGAAGGACAACTCTGAATTCAAAACCTGCGGAGGGAACCTTGTGGTACTTAGTGCACCAGGTACTGTATTCGGCCCTTCAAAAAATGTGGATGGTCCTGCACGAAACCTTCACCACTATAATCAAATCTCATGTGTCGTTGTCGGGCTGTCGGTTTCCTGGGGACTGATTTGCTTGACCCTCATATGTCGAATTCGACGGGAGAGTCGAGTATAAGTGCGTAATTATTGTAAAATTCTAAGTATCATATAATGCGTAATTTAACTTATCTGTTATTTGTCTATTTACAAATTACTTATCTTCGATACTATTTATTTCTATATTTTTGATTTTCGGCAAGAATATCAAACACATTTTAGATGAATATATATATGTCTAGAAAGTGCCTTGATCGTAAGGTATCTACAATATATTTGCGCTTAGGTTCCTACAACATTTCACCATTCCTGGCAGGATATCTAATAACAAAAGTGATGGGAAGAAAAAGAATCTGAATAAAATGCTAGATTAAAAAAAATAAATTAAAATTCCCAGCTTCCCTCGTTCGTGCGCATGCGTAGTCACACCAACATAACAAATTTAGTCCGATGAAGACCTAAAGGAAAACTTTTTCCACTTTGTTATATATTTTCACCCAATATAGCTATCATTATGTATTGAGTGCTTTTTGGCAGAAGTTTTGCGATCCTGAATAAACATTAAAGGCTCGTAATTTGTTATATATTTTTCTTTTGTAATTTCATTATTATTATTATTATTTGTTAATAGGCACAATATAAAAATAATAATAATAATATATTACAATAATATTAACTTTTTATTTATTATATTATCACTACTAATCCCAAAGTCTAGACGACCCGAGATTGGCAGCTGATCTCTTCTCTGATTGAGCTCTAACATCTCATGGAAGTGTGTGTGTGTGGGGGGGGACTGGCTGGTTACATTCAATGCCTCAAAAACTAAACTATTTACATTCAATCATCGCCATCGAACACAGAATTATCACCAATCGCGATGAATAGATTATCCTTCAGGGAGGATAATCCTTCAGGGAGGCCCCGTGCCTTGAACGCCTGTTGGGACTTAAACTCAAATCAGACCTCAAGTGGAACTCGTACATGCGACCCCATCGCTAATGGAAAAATGGTCAGTTCCCTGTGCCGCTCCAGTATGTACCAGACTCCTCCTGTTATCCTCTACCTTTATAAAAATCAGATCAGGCCGAAAATTGATTACTTACAGGAGCTCGCCAGTCTTCATTTTCTAGAGTTCCATAGCGTCTCCGGACCCTTGTAGGTGACCAATTATTTCCCACCCTACAACCTCCTTCTCACAAACTAAACATCGCCAGCCTCTCGCTTCTATCGCTATTTCCATGGGAAGTGCTCAGACGAGCTACACTTGTTGGTTCTACCAGCTCTAAACTTTACTTTAAGACTCGCCATGCCACGCCTATTGTATGAAACCTTCATTCCCTTCGTATTCCATGGGTGAGATGTAAGTTCCACTTGAGCAGCTTCTTCCTACGAACCCGTGTCTTGTGGAACCGACTCCCAAGAGGATGCTTCCCCGATCGCTATAATTTTAATCTGTTCAATTTTGGAGTTATCTGCTATATTTCCCACATATCCACATAAATTGTGCCTCTTACTCAGTAACCTTCTACCTCAAGTGGCTCCCAGGCCTTGTACAGGGTTAACATCATTGTAAAAAAAAAAAAAAAAAAAAAAAAAACTACTGCCATCACCAAATGTATTTTCATTTTTCACATTTTTTTTTACTTCAAACAGATCGCGTGAGGAAGAGAGTTGTGAGAGAGGTAGAAACTGAAAGATAGAGAAGTGAGAGAGAGGTAGAAACTGAAAGATAGAGAAGTGAGAGAGAGGTAGAAACTGAAAGATAGAGAAGTGAGAGAGAGGTAGAAACTGAAAGATAGAGAAGTGAGAGAGAGGTAGAAACTGAAAGATAGAGAAGTGAGAGAGAGGTAGAAACTGAAACATAGAGAAGTGAGAGAGAGGTAGAAACTGAAACATAGAGAAGTGAGAGAGAGGTAGAAACTGAAACATAGAGAAGTGAGAGAGAGAGAGGTAGAAACTGAAACATAGAGAAGTGAGAGAGAGAGGGGTAGAAACTGAAACATAGAGAAGTGAGAGAGAGATGGGTAGAAACTAAAACATAGAGAAGTGAGAGAGAGAGGGGTAGAAACTGAAACATAGAGAAGTGAGAGAGAGAGGGGTAGAAACTGAAACATAGAGAAGTGAGAGAGAGAGAGGTAGAAACTGAAACATAGAGAAGTGAGAGAGAGAGGGGTAGAAACTGAAACATAGAGAAGTGAGAGAGAGAGGTAGAAACTGAAACATAGAGAAGAGAGAGAGAGGTAGACACTGAAACATAAAGAAGAGAGAGAGAGAGAAAGCGACGCTAACTATAATATAGAGAAGTGGGAGAGATAGTAAATGAAGGACAGAGAGGTGAGAGACATAAACTGAAAGATAGCGAGTGGGTAAAAAATATTTCTTATTCTGTTTCACAATTGCATACCATATTTTCTGTACTATTTTTTCTCGGTGAATATGACACCTGAGTCAAGAACCTTTTCGTTTCGTGAAACGATGTAGATATTGCCTATAAACTATCTAGCCACCATCGTAGCAGAGAAATGAAGCCCATCCCTACGCTACAAAAAAGAAGGAAAAAAATCACTTGCCCGACTGACATATGATTTCACAGAAGTGTGGTTAGAATATATATATATATATATATATATATATATATGAAAGCAGTAGTTGCAGGTATGTGAGGAAGTTGTTCAGTGGTTAAAAAGCCAAGTAAAACTCTTGCAATTCATCCAATCATTGCGCGTTGCCATCCAGTGTATTCATACACCAGGTAGGATTACATTTCAGAAGCCAAATACGTCGAGTGTGATGGAAGATGTTGCAGGAACGAACGCCCGGCTGGTAGGGGAGAGATAGTGGGTGATGCAGGTAGATGGAGTCACTGGGGGACGAGGGCAAAAGATGCAGGATCTGCCTGTTGGTTCTGGGGATGAAGCCGATGTTGTGGAGTGATGTGGGTGTTAACATACCAACAGAGATTCTTTCGCCCCCATCGCACGTACACACAATTACATATGATAGAAATTTTCATACTTAATGGCTAAATTCCATTAGACCGCACCCCTACACACTTACAGAGGGGATAACATGACTTTTTCTAATTAAAAATATTTCTATTTGTCAAAATTTATAATCAACTTTTGAGAAGAATGGTTTTAGTATATTTTTAGCATAATTGAGAATCTGGCGTTGAAAGAAATCTCGCTTTCTTGTCCCATCTCATATATATATATATATATATATATATATATATATATATATATATATATTAGATAGATAGATAAAATTAGTGGTTAATACACGCACACATATTATATATATATAAATTTCCAAGAGGATAGAATCAGCTAGAACTCAATGTCCAGGACAGAGTAAGAATATAATAAAAAGGCTTAAACACTAATATTCCATGGAATATTAGTGTTTAAGCCTTTTTTTATATATATATATATATATATATATATATATATATATATATATATATATAACAAACTGGAAAATTTCTTGTGAGGCATTTCATCCGTTAGGATTTAATATTTTCTAAATACTGTTTGTTGATATATATATATATATATATATATATATATATATATATATATATATGAGATGGATTGATTTCGACAATTATTTAATATATTTTCTGTTTATACGTTATTTTTATAGATACAACTTATTTAAGTAAATGCTTAGTTTTAAATTAATTAATTAAATTTACCGGCTTGAATTTTAGGGAAATTTCGTAGACAATATGCGTTCTCCGATAGGAATCGAACCTTTATTCCTATAGGGAAACCGTCATTTGATCTGACGTGTTGTAACATTTAACTACAGCGAAGCGTCTGGTTAGCAAAGTCCAAATTACTGTTTACAAACACACAATCTTAAATAGATTATATCTATAAAAATAACGTATAAAGAGAAAATATATTATACACACACATATATATATATATATATATATATATATATATGCACACAGATGTGTGTGTGTGTGTCTAAAATAGGATACAGAATACAAAGTTTGAAGATTATGCCAAATGGAAAACTGTTTCATTGAAACTAGATGACGCGTTTCGACCTTGCTAGGCTTTCATCAGATCAAAACGAATTCATTATTTAACCATGCACACACACACTTCTTTTTTTTGTTATCCCTTTCACCTCTCTATCTTTCAGTTTCCACCTTACTCTCATCTCTCTTTCAGTTTCTACCTCTCTCTCACCTCTATGTCTTTCAGTTTCTACCTCTCTCTCAACTCTATGTCTTTCAGTTTCTACCTCTCTCTCAACTCGATGTCTTTCAGTTTCTACCTCTCTCTCAACTCGATGTCTTTCAGTTTCTACCTCTCTCTCAACTCGATGTCTTTCAGTTTCTACCTCTCTCTCAACTCGATGTCTTTCAGTTTCTACCTCTCTCTCACCTCTATGTCTTTCAGTTTCTACCTCTCTCTCACCTCTATGTCTTTCAGTTTCTACCTCTCTCTCACCTCTATGTCTTTCAGTTTCTACCTCTCTCTCACCTCTATGTCTTTCAGTTTCTACCTCTCTCTCAACTCTATGTCTTTCAGTTTCTACCTCTCTCTCACCTCTATGTCTTTCAGTTTCTACCTCTCTCTCAACTCTATGTCTTTCAGTTTCTACCTCTCTCTCAACTCTATGTCTTTCAGTTTCTACCTCTCTCTCACCTCTATGTCTTTCAGTTTCTACCTCTCTCTCAACTCTATGTCTTTCAGTTTCTACCTCTCTCTCACCTCTATGTCTTTCAGTTTCTACCTCTCTCTCACCTCTATGTCTTTCAGTTTCTACCTCTCTCTCAACTCTATGTCTTTCAGTTTCTACGTCCCTCTGTCTTTCAGTATCTATCTCACCTTCTTCCTCGCTCGATATGCTTGAAGTAAAAAAAATGTAAAAAACGAAAATATGTATATAAGCCAAGGACAATTTTTTTCCAGCCCCCGCGACGCCAGTTACTTTGGCATCATTATTACACCGACTGTACTTCTTTAGTGCAATGAGGGAGGTACTGCCTCAGGGTTTGGAAACCCGGGGTTGAGCAAGTTCTCCCATCTAAAATGAGGAGAAACATAGCTCCACTTACAGCACAGAGGGCAATAACCATACCTCAGTAAACCCCCAATGGCATTTATTAACTCCAGTGCCAGATTTTATATATATATATATATATATATATATATATATATATATGGGTGGGGAGATATAGCACGTTTCACTGAGTGTACACATATACTAATACATGGCAGAACTGCCAGGAAGCGACACTTTGATACTCGACAGAACGCCCAGATTTTACACTCTAATCCTCGGCAGAGCACACAGATACTACACTCCGATCCGAGGCAGAGCACACAGATACTACACTCCAATCCGAGGCAGAGCGCACAGATACTACACTCCAATCCGAGGCAGAGCGCACAGATATTACATTCCGAAGTTCAGCAAAGCTCACATACTACACTCTCGTATTCCCGCCAGTGCGCACAGATACTACACTCTGATCCTTGGCAAAGTGTAATATCTCGGTAGTTTTAACGTTTTTCGCTTCCAGTAAATAGTCTGTGTGTCTCCGCACTCAACAAGGAATACCTTAAACTTCGTACCTGAATACAATGTGGACTGGGGTCATAGATAAGAAACACCAGTGTCAAGGTGGGTTAGTTTGCAAAGTCCACGATGCCGTCAAGTGATTACATTTTTTCCTTCGAAATAATAGACACATTTTAGTTGTTATATTCCCAACGTTTCGGCTGTTGTACCCTCGCGCCTTCTTCAGGTAACCTCGTAATGTTTGAATCGAAACACAGGAGTAGATTGTTCTCATTCCCTGCTTAAGGGAGATAACTCGTATGCGTTAATTATCTCCCTCCTCTACCAGACATTGTGTCGCTTGTCCGTTTCATCTACCGAATCAGTATGTATAACTTTTCAGCACCTCCATGGAAACACCCGGAGAAGGCCAGAGGGTACAACGGTCGAAATGTTGCGGATATAAAAACCATGATGAACGTACTGGTCCGTATAGCAAAGCATATAAAGAGACATACATGACATGCAGAAGGCCGGAGAATATAACGGCCAAAATGTTGTTCATATAAAATCTACGCTGAGCCTGGTGTTCCGAATAACAAAGCAAATAATAGCCAGACACTTGAAAAAGTCCGAAACGTACAACGGCCGAAACGTTGTGAGTATATAAAAAAAGCTAATTCCGCGATTTAAAAAAATTCGACATTCAAGCAAATACAAAATATCCAAGTCGAATTCTTTAAACTCAATTACGCGTAAATACTCTTGGGAAAGTTGCGAATCCATCTCTTTTCCCCACAGCTATGGATTAAATAACAAAGCAGATTGGCCTCTTTAACCTTGGTTGGCGATCAACCTTGGAGAAGGGCAAGTCTGAATTAAAAAATGGTTGGGCTAGCAACCTCATTCCGTAATAAAAAAAAAACCATAGCAGCAATGACTAGTGTTGTTGAGAGCTGTGGTCCCATATTTCTCAGCGGAGTCTACGGGACTTGAGTGAGTATGTGTGTGTGTATAAGTAAATATTAAATATTACAAGCAAACGTTAATTCTCTGTAACGTTTGCTTGTAAATATTACAAGCAAACGTTAATTCTCTGTTCCAATTCACCTCTGGGAAATTGATGCTTTTCTTCTGAAAAGGTAACTCGAATTTCAAAGACTTTTTAAGAAATCAGTTTAGCCATGAAGTATTTATTAAATAAGCCACAGACAGAACTCTCCGTCTCTTTGGCGTAATGATAGTAATATATTCCGAGTGTAGGTGCCTCAGAGTTGTAAGAAATGCCAAATTCAGAGATTTATAACTAGCAATCTTAGATATGCACATAATTTTGGCTGAGATGCGAGGGTGAACAAAATTAAATAAATAAAAAAAAAATAAAGAAAAAATTTACAAAATTGCAAAGAGCATTGGGGGCGTACGTCACGCATGACGTCAATGCGATAACTTCGAAATCACGTGACTGAGAACGGACAATCTGCCGTTTATATATATGGCCGCCATATTGATTTTTCTGGAATTGCTACGTTTGTTTGTTTCTTTTTCTCTTCTACAAGTATTTTACTTGAAAAACTCAGTAGTAGGGACAAGATAAAACGGAAAGTAATTTACTTTCTTTAATCAAATATTTGAAAGCTTCAGTAATGTTTGGTCACAGCGCTATATCTGAAGTCTCTTCAACGAAAAAGTGTAGAATGAACTTCGATTAAAAAGTTGGTTATTTCACCAAAATGTTTTACGTCAAAATATTATGAACAGCTTCAAGGACAGCTGGCATATTTTGACCCCAATTTGTAATGAATAATGTACAAAAATAAAAACATTATGTTTACAGCTTCTTTCGATGCTTCAAGGACGTAGTGGCAAAATATGATAAGATAATGGTTATAGCATTTTATTTCAAGAACTACTTTACCCGTGCTGTAAAAAATGGCGGATATATTTCAGCATTTTTAACTTCATTCTCATTATATATATATATAAAGAAAAATATACTGAAAAAACAAACAAAAATCCTAATATGCGATTATGCTGTTTTAATGTTTAATGTCAACGTCGGACGTTTCGGTCTAATAGACCATCTTCAGGACATATTCATAAAAAAACATGAATATGTTGAAGATGGTCTATTAGACCGAAATTCGACGTTGACATTAAACATTAAAACAGCATAATCGCATATTAAGATTTTTGTTTGTTTTTTCAGTATATTTTTCTTCATACTGTTGAATCTATATCCATATATTTGCTTATATATATGTGTGTGTGTGTGCGTGTGGCATTGGATAGCGTTTCGGAATGAGGAATTGGAGAGCCGAGTTTGAATTCCAGTCGAGTTTGTTGCATTCATTTACATGCAAATACCCTTGGGAAAGGTCGGAACCCATCGCTTTTCGACCCTCATCTATGAGTAAAGAGCA